TTGTTACTTGACATTATTTTCCCTTGCACCTTGAACCATTTCCCCTGAAACTTGAACTGCCTTCCTTCGAAACTGCTTTCCCTAGAAACTTGAGTTGTCTCCCCTTGTTCTCCAGGTGGTGCCTGATTACGACAAAACAAAGAAAATTTTCTTCCCCCAGTTTGCACTAGGAAGATTTGTGAGTTGTTAGCAATATTGTAAATCAAAATATAACTTGAAATACCAAGACTAGGAAGTGCGTCTCCTAGGGGTGGAACATTAATGACTTAAACTAGGAAGTGTATCTCCTAGGAATAAATTTAAATGACCGAGATTAGGAAGTGCGTCTCCTAGGGGTGAGAACTTCAGTGACTAAAACTCATACGATCCAAACTAGGAAGTGCTTCTCCTAAAAGTGTATCCTAAAAAAACCCAGACTAGGACGTGCGTCTCCTAAGGGTATAACTTTAGTGTGTGAAACTACGAATTGCGTCTCCTAGGGGAAAGCTCAATGTAGGAAGTGCGTCTCGTAAAACAAAATATAACCTGAAAAACCCAGACTAGGAAGTGTGTCTCCTAGGGGTGAAACTTCAATGACTCAAACTAGGAAATGTGTCTCCCACGAATGAACTTAAATGAACCAGACTAGGAAGTGCGTCTCCTAGGAGAAAATCTCAATTTAGGAAGTGTGTCTCCTAAAACAACAATACAACCTGAACTGCCCAGACTAGGAAGTGCGTCTCCTAGGGGGTGAAATCTCAATTTAGGAAGTGCGTCTCTTAAAATAAAAATATAACTTGAACTATCCAGACTAGGAAGTGCGTCTCTTAAAATAAAAATATAACTTGAACTATCCAGACTAGGAAGTGCGTCTCCTAAGGGTGAAATCTCAATTTAGGAAGTGCGTCTCCTAAAACAAAAATATAACCTGAACTACCCAGACTAGGAAGTGCATCTCCTATGGGTGAAACATCAATGACTCAAACTAGAAAGTGCGTCTCCTACGGATGAACTATCAATTTAGGAAGTGCGTCTCCTAAAACAAAATGTAATTTGGAAGACTTAGACTAGGAAGTGCGTCTCCTAGGGGTAAAACCATCAGTGACTCAAACTCATATGATCCAAACTAGGAAGTGTGTCTCCTAAAGGGTAAAATCTCAGTTTAGGAAGTGCGTCTCCTACAACAAAATATAACTTGAAAACCCAGACTAGGAAGTGCATCTCCTACGGGTTATGTGTGATCTTCTCAATAGCCTTTGCGTAAGCAGAATTGGGGCATTACACCTGAAAATTTCAAGCTTCCCAGCTTTGATATGAACACAGCTTCTGTCCCTGTTTCAGACAAAGAAAACTTGTGAGTTTAAATATGGTGGTTGGTTTGTGGCCTTGACTTTGTGACGATTGCTCCTTCACTTGCCATTATAACGTTGATTTCACCTTGAAAAACGTTGCTTGCTTATTGACTAACCAATTTCTCTGTCACCCATATCACAGAAAATACCTCTTCTCCATTCAGACCCAATTCCCTCTATCTATTGCATTGCTCATAAACCGACATTTACTAAACCCTTGTATTTTCACATGAATCTCAAAGTACGACAATTGCCACACACTCAGTGCGTATGCTGTTCTTTCTTGAATTAAACCATTGGCCTTGGCCTTGAGGTCTATTGCTCCTTCTTTCTACTTGGAAAACCTCGCTTGTCACTGGTTAACCATTTTTGTCAATCTTACCACAGAAGATACCTTTGATCTTTTCACCTAATACCATCCACCAGTTGCATTGTCCTTGACTTGATACATACCAAACCTTTGTGTTTCACAAGGATCCCAAAGTATGTTGATTGTTACCAGCTTAATTTATTCTAAATTTACACCATATTACTTCAGACTTTTAGAAATTTAAAGTTAAAATTAAATCAAAACTCTTAAGAAATTAACAGGAAAAAAAGCGAACATGCATTGCTCATAAATGTTTCATATTTTTAGGTAATCAATTATTGACAATTTAGAGAAAAAATAATATTACATACCTCATAGATTAAGAATTAAAAAAATAATATTGGCCATGTACTAAACTCTAAAAGGATATTTTATAAAAATTAATCAAATAAGTTAAATTTTAATTGAATTTGAAGTCCTAAATATTAGGATATTCTTAAGTAAAATTTTAGTTGAATTTGAAGTTTTAAATATTAGAAAAATAATTAAATGACTATTTTGTCTAGTGTGAAATTAATTTTTAAAGGGTAAAAAAGCAAACGATATTTTGATAGGGGCTTCAAGTTCTCTTTTGCTAGTCTTAGGATGCGCGCGTACCCCTCTCGATGTGTACAAACTTTTAACAAATACATTAAAATATGTTAAGTTATAAAATAAAAGTTTTAAAAAAGTGTATGTTATCAAAGACTATGACTACTGATTCTATTTAATTAACTTAATAAAGAAAGCCCATAAACGTCCTCAGTCAATCTATTTAATTTAAAATTATTTCAGTTTTATAATTGCATTACTTCAACTTCAAAAATAATCATGCACAAAAAACGCATAGCCCTTGAATATTTAAGAGTTTTTTTCTTCTATTTATCGGAAAAGCATATTCTCAAGAAAATACCCACATCACGTTGAGTTTATGGTCACAGTTATTCTAAAAGGCATAAACACTTAAACAATGTTAATTAATAACAGAAGCAATCTTTTTTTTTTCTTATGAGCAAGATGCACATTATTCGAATTTCTTTAATCAATAAAATATACTTTAGGGATTATTTTCAATAAATTAGTAAGGAAAAGCTTTCTATTGCAAAAGTAGAATCCCATTATGATATTTATACGTACGGATTTTAGTTTACTTAACATCGGAAACAAAGTTCTAATTAGTATAAGCAAACTTATAATTTGGCACTTGGCAGAAATGAATTTTCCACATTAATTAGAGAGTTTGGAAAAATGGGATGGCAATATCTAGAAAAATAACATAAAAATAACTTAGTGCAGAATTGTACCAGAAGAAATGTCACCACAACAAAATAATATAGTAGTATTAAGAATCAATCTAAAGAAATATTTTTAAGAAAAATTAACTTTATATATATATATATAAAGTTCAAATTTAGATTGGAAAATATATAGATCAAAACCTAAATAGATCCAGAGTCATACTTGCAGATTACAATTCTATTTTGGAACCAATAAACGAAACAAAATTGCAAAATAAATAGGAAATCAAGTAAATTTAATTTGCAAGTCTTATATCTTGACTGTAGGTGCGTGAATTCTACTGTAGCATTGTAAAGCAACTGAATTATATCTTGACCGTAAGTGCATGAATTCTACTACAGCATTGCAAAGCAACTGAAAGACCTGCCGTTTGCAACCACAAGCTAGTAAAACCGCATATCAATTAAAAAAATATTCTCATAAGTTGGATAACAAAAAATGGAGCAACAAATTTAGTACCTAATCTATTGAACAAAAGTATTTCTCAGTTTATAGATTATGAATACCACATAGATCATCTCATGTGAACAAATTTCTAGCATTGAGTTCACTCGTTGAGATGTGCAAAAGAGCATATATCACTATAGATCACCGCAACTAGATCAAAAACCACCAAAACAGTTAGTCTCGCAGAAATATTTTTTTTAATATATAACTTGTTTTTATTTTGTCAGAAAATTATTAGGAGCAATAGATCTTGACTTTTGTAAAAATTAATTAATTTCCTTGTATAAAACTTAGAGGTATTAATTAATTAAAGAATATAAGAAAATAATAATAAAGCTTTTACAAATTAAAGATACAATGTATGTACAAAATAGGACTCGTACATAGCTAAAATAGGAAAATATTTAGTAGTCAATATTTAGTTGATTTCAAATTCTTAAATATAAGAAAAATAATTAAATTACTATTTTACCTAGTATAAAATTTATTTTTAANAAAAAGACAAGAGAGCAATTTTATTCGAAATAGTTATACATTTCTTTCATGTCATCAGTAAAAAGAAATAAAGTTAATTATGTATGAGCATGTCACTAAAATATTATAAATTAGGGGTAGGCATCGGTCGGTTTGGTTATGAATATTATCGGTTTACAAATTTAAACCGATAACCGAACCGATAAGATATCGATTATCGGTTTATAAATTTGATAAACCGATAAGATATCGATTATCGGTTTATAAATTTGATAAACCGATAAGATATCGATTATCGGTTATCGGTTATCGGTTAATCGGTTATCCATCATTATCGGTTCGGTTATCGGTTTACCCGATAAGATAACTCAATCTAGAGTTAAGCAAAAAAAGAGAAGACAATTTAGTGGAGTTAAGCAAAAAAAAAAAAAAAGAATTCACATATAGTATACTACACATTTCTGCATTTTGTCCCGTGGCCACAACTGGAATAGTACTAATTCTTTAACAACAGTTGTCCAAATACATTAATAGTACAAAGTAGTAGCAATTTCACCTTAAAATTAACAAGTCCAAACATATAGTACTAACAATCTACGATAAATTAGATGTTGTTTGTCAAATGTCTATCCTGAAAAAAGAAACCATAGAGCAAAACCTTAATATATGCCTTACATATCCTACGCGTTTGAGATCCTGGTCACTATTTAAAAAGCGGAAAAAAGTCAAAAATGCCCTTGAACTGTTTAAAAAGGTTTAAAAATACTTCACTCACCTATTGGGCTAAAAATACCGCTCCATCCACCCCTTAGAAAAATTCAATTGATTTTTTGGTTTTTCTGGATATCAGGTTTATGCAACTGCTGCTGAAACTGATCAGCCAAAGTGGTGAGAAAAGAGTGCGCCTAGTTTGATTAACATACACTCAACTCAAGATTTTTTAGATGCATTAAGTCAAGCTGGAGATAGATTAGTGATTGTTAAATTCTGTGGCACATGGTGTGCCTCATGTCGGGCATTATTCCCTAAGGTGAGTAATCTCATTAGGTACTATTTTCTGTGTTTCCCTGAGTAATAGTCCGTTTCTTTTGTTCATTAAAATGAACTTTGACGAGAACAAGTCCTTGTGCAAAACCTTAAATGTAAGAATCCTTCCTTATTTCCACTTCTACGGAGGAGCTGATGGCTTGTTGGATTCCTTTTCTTGTTCTCTTGCAAAGGTAGGACATGAACACCATTTTTGTGCTATTTCATTTGTCATTACCATTATAACCTACTGCAATGTAATCCTCTCGACTATCCATTCTTCCCCTCTCTGTGGGCACTAGGTCCAAGGGAAAAGAAAGAAATGAATAAAGTGAGATAGAAGGGTGGTCAGAAAGAAGTAGGCTGACAAAGAGGATGGTACAATCGTTGTAATTTTATTTTCATTTTGTATGATATCTTTTACTGTTCCACTAACGGCAAAAAGCAAATTAAATGTACTCTTTTGGTTGGGTTGTGAAGACGTGTTCAAAAACATTATGAAGCTATTGAAGATATGTATCTCTCTAAGTAAAATTTGAAATGAAATGAATGAGAACACCAATAGCTAGACTGGCCACCTGAAGCACCACCATCAATCAAGTTTTTTGCTGACTGAGATTTCTTTTCCTTAATGTCATTGGTTTGATAATAATCTGGTCAAATCATACTGGGTATTTCTCTATCTCACTCTAGGCTCCTTGGTACTATTGAAAGTAGGACATAGATAATTGTAACTTTGAGGATAATGGTCATGGTCACTATTCAGATACCCTAAGAATAGTGATTTTTTTTTTCTCCTGGTGAGCTTGTAGTCGCCTGTATTGGCAAGATTTATCCAATTGTTGAGCTTATACCTGTCCATAGATATATCAAAAATGAAAATTCTCAACTTATCCTGAACTTTTCTGCTTATTTGATGGGAAGGTAGGTCTATGTAAGATGTATTCTCCCATTCTTCATGTTTTCACTCTTTTGTTTGAAAAATGTCACGTAGCTCCAGAAATTAAAGGATGCAATTGCAAGCCATAACCCAGTTTCTGTGAAATTTCTAAGCAATGTCATGAAAGGGACTTCACCAATAGGCACTGGTGATGGGGAGTCTCAGCTTCTGTGAAATTTCTGCATCTCCAGAAGACACGCATTTCAGAACAACTTCAAGGTAGAAGTGAACAAATTTGCCTGCACTATTATTTTGTTTCAGAAATTGTGGCAATGTGCCATTGGTTGTGTTACTGCTCTCCACTTCTGGGATGCTACAAAGCTGCATCAATTTGTTTGTACAAAGAATTCACCTTTTGCCACTGCTGTAATCCTTTTCATGCTGACATATTAAAAATGTTATAATTGTATTTTAATTTTTACAACTGGCTTCTTTCATGATTGGGACATGGAAAAACACTGCCATTGGAAAAACTAACTGCTATATGACTCCAGTAGCTGCATATGCTGCCTCCTATTTGTAGAAGAATGAAGGGTGATATAGCTAACCATATTGTGAATAACATGCCTAATTAAGTTGTGAAAACAAAACCAACCTTGCCAGTATAAGTTTAAGCTATCTCATTCTCCCATCTTGCTATGTGGCATGGCCATGTTGGATGATTGCTTATCTCTTTGGTTTGTCCTTGTAAGTTTTTTTTTTTGTGTGTGTGTTTTGGTTTCCTAGGACATCACATAGGAAGATCTAGGTTGAGTGGAACTTCCTTTTATAGTTCACCCTCCTTCTGTTGTTATTATTGCTGCATTTTTTTTCCTATGAGTTTGTGTTTTCGTATTTAATACGCTAAGTAAAGCTTTTTCTTCCTGTTTTGTTAGAAATCCTTCAGAACCCACCTGTACTTCAGGAAACCTGTTTGTTTTTGTTGACGTGAAGGCAATATGATTCTTAAAATTGGGTTTCTCTGCATAGGAATGCTAGGGAAAGCTTATTGGTAAGAAGGAACATTTTATCATCCAGCCTTACATATCCTATGCATTTGAGATCTTGGTCTCTACTTTTTTAAAAAGGGGCTCTTTGATCAGGAAACATTCTGATATACCTCAATCTCTTTCTCTTAAAGTTGGGACTTCTTTTCTTCCCTCAAGAAACTGGTCATTCGTTTGTGGGGCATTCAGTTGCAGAAGAAGCTTCTATACGCCAACCCAAAGTGACGTCTATGGGGGCCGGGTGTTCAGCCCCAGTGGTACTATCCTTTTTTTTTCCGTCTTGGCAATACTTCTAGTAGTATCTTTGTCACTAATCAACAAATGCAAAATTAAATGGCCTCCTCCTGTGTAAGTGCTGTTTGGATATATTTATGTTAATTCTGTATTATACCATCTATCCAGTTACAATAGGCAGCTGTTTTATTGATTATTAAACTTTGCCCTTCTTGTTTGTAGAGTAAAACAACTACAGTGGAGCTTGGAAGAGTTGGGAAAAAATCTTCTACTTGAACCATTAAGCTTAAAATTATGTGAAGGTAAAACTTGGAGTTTCCATTACTGAATATAGATCTATATTGAATGGTATTGTGAAAAGGAACTGGCTTACAAAGAAGAGATAAGAACCATCCTACATAGCCTCCTTTTCCTAAGAAATACATTAAAATCTTCAGAACTCGAACCACAGGTTCAAATCCAGTGACCATTTCTTAAAATTTTGAACCAAAAAAAGCCATAGATACAAAACAGGTTACAACAAACTTGTAACACACTTTAAGTTGATCTCTTTCTTGATGTTGATCAAGAGAGAAACCACACACAACTACCTAAAATAAAAATCAAATTCAAAGTCAGAATCTTCATTGTAATGACTTGGGCAATCTTGCCATTAATAAGGTACTGGAAGAGGTCGTGGAAAGGGTCCGTGAGATGCTTTTGACATTGTGTGGAATTTGCATTCGACTGATAACAATTGGCTCTCTTCAATGGTGATTGCGTTAATGAGTTGTAGCAGAATGTGCTCAAGTTCTTCCCCATCAGTCCACTCGTGAACGTCTGCTTTTACTAGTGTCTTGTTTTCTTTTATCAAATTCCAGGCTGGGAAATCTTTTCTTGGCATGACGAAATCTCCTTCTCTGAGCTTCAAACTGGGGCAGAAATCGCCGATTCCATCACCAAGGTATATTATTCTTTTCTTCCCTTCCTTAGCCATGGAGGCTTGTATTCTTTCTACTATCAGACCCTGTAACATTTATAACAGAGAAACTCTATTAGAATAAAGGGTGGTCAGGTGCACAAAGCATCCCACGTTCACACATGATTCGAGGAAAGGCCGCACCCAAGAGGGTGTAAAGTAGGCAGCCTACCATAATGCAAGCATTAGTGGCTGATTCCACGACTTGAACCCGTGACCTATAGGTCACACAGAGACAACTTTACCGTTGCTCCAAGGCTCCCCTTCCAGAAACTCTGTTAGAATAACTAATTTAATTTCATATTACATTTTTTTTAAATTGCTGATTATTTACCTTACACATGTTGGGAGGGCAAAGACTGCAGCCATGAGGAGATGTTTGAAAATCAACATAAGGTAGGATTTGGAGTCTTCCTTCCTCATCAACATAGCCTGGGTTTGTGTTGATTTCTGAGAAACAATCTCTTATTCCCAGATGTTTCAAGATTGTCTCTATAAAGAACACGTTTGCATCGCTTACTACTCTCAAATCACACCTGAATTAATAAACATTCAATTAGTTTAAACCCACAAAAATTTCTGATTATTTATTAAGCAGATTAAAATAAAAACATAGGAAATAAAACAAAAGTAACAATAAACGGTACTAAAGACTGAAATAGAAAGATACATACCCTAATGCATAAGCTGATTTAATGGCTGGGACAATCCTGGGGTGTATTGGTACCCGTTTTAGTACCTCTTCAATATCTTCAATAGTTTTGCCTTGTGCATGAAGCTCCTTCATCATCCTATCCTGTAATTTGAAACAGAATATTCAGCCTCTAATAAGAGAAAAAAAGGACAGCACGGTGCATGTAACATCTTACGTTCGCGGGTCCAGAAAAGGGCCGCACCCTAATGAAAGCTTTAGTGGTGGCTTATATGACTCAAATTCGTGACCTATAACGTCACATAGAGACAACTTTAAAAAATCAGACAAAAACCTTAGACTATGTAGGGAGATTGAAAAGGTCTATTTTTTTATTACATATAATTTTTTAGAATTCAAGCTATATATGCTGACGGAAAAAATATTATAGGAACAAAAACTAACCATGAGAGAGTTCCAGGGCATGGTAGAGAGAAGTTGATTGAACAAGTCATTGGCACCTAACTCATCCACCACCCAATTATCACTATCCACGTCGATGATCGTCTTGTCGAAGTCGAAAATCACCACAATTCCAGCCATTTCTGAGTATTTTTTCAGGGTTTAGTGACAAGAAAAGAATGAATATAGAAAACCTCTGATTCTTGTTTTTCTAGGATTTATTTGGCTTCAGAAAATAAACTGTTGTTTAGACTGAATTGAGGAAAAACCTTAAAAGAGGCAGCTCTATATATAGGGAAGAAAAAGAAAAGGATAAATTTGAAATAGGTACAAAAAAATAAGATGCTAAGGGAATATTACGCGGATTTGACATAAGTTTGTGGTAAATTAAAGCAAAGCCACTCAAAATCCTACTGTCTGTTGGTTTATTTTCTTTCTGGAAAAGTTATTATCGTCAGCTTATTTCGAATATTAGCCATTGGATTTTGCTATACTTGATTTTCAAGGATCATCGTACGGTAAATATAGAGTTTCACTTTATGGTATAAATAATAATTCATTTATTGTTAGTATGGGAAAAGGTTTTATGTACACAGGAATATGACAGAATATTCCATGCAGGAGACTTCAATTCCCTCTTCCAACTATACTACGCAGCCACCAAACCACAAATTAGGATGGAACATATTTCGATTAATTGTTTCAAATTTTAATATGTTACAAAAATATTTATTAAATATTAATAATAAACTTTTGGTGTTAAATGTTGATAATTATAAAGAAAATGGCTCTTGTCTATAAGTGAAGAGAACTTTCCTTATTTTAGTGAAATTATTTTTTTGATTGTCAAAAAATAGAAAATAACTTTTTCATGTATAATATTTTCTCGAAAAAAAATATTCCATCATATTAAACAGAAAATATTGAAAATTTGGCAGCTTCTAGATTATATTAGAGATATTCGAGCATAATCCCAGTTGGATTTTAAAGACAGTCCTTATAGATTTTGTCACGTTATGTTCATGAAAGTAGGAGGGGTATAGGGGACAAGTGGATTAATGTTCATATATTAGCACCACATGAATCAGATTAAACATTGTTCATTATTTCAATTAAAATAATCCTCAAACAAAGTTTTTAAAATTCAAATTCTTATTTCCAATTGAAGATGAAATAATCACTAAAATAGTAAAATTAACATTGAATTACGTACAACCATTATTTCGATTAGCTTTTGAAGTTATGTCTAAATGCCTACCAGTGTTTTTTCGTGTTTATGTAGTCCTTTACCTGTAATCAAGAAACGATATCACATGAAACATCGCAAATTTTGGAATAAATACGTATGCCAAATATCAAAGCTATAATTATCATCTGCTTTTTGCCTTACATAAATCGTGTCTGGTTTAAATAAAATACAGAGATCTTCCCTTACAACTTGTTTGGATGGTTGTTACCTATTATATTGTATCGTATTGTTACTTTAATACATGTTTGTTTTGATTTTTACTTAAATTTTATTGTATCGTATCGTTAAATTCGTTGTAACATAACGATGTAATGTGCCACTTTATGTAACGACCGATTTGATGTGGTCGCGTCGTTACCTTGTATTTTTCTCTCAATCTCACCCTTCATTATTATTAAATAATTTTATTTTATCATTTACCTTACCTTTTTATATACCGCATGATAATCTTTCTTTATAATATTAATTGCAAGTTTATTAATCATATTACTGGTGCGTGATACCATGAAACGACGGTAAAACAACACAATCCATCCAAACATTGTATTCATCAAAAGATACAGTACAATACAATGCAGTACGATACGATACATTATGAAATGATACATTATGAAACGATACGTAACAACCATCCAAATAAGCTGTTAGATTTTGCTTCGTAATACTAACCTCCCTCCTGGTTTTCAATATTACACTGGTCTCCTTTGTCTAATCTACCCTTATTAATAAGGAAAATGACATACTATAGCTGCTTTCAAAATAATAACCGAAAAATGTATGTGTGTATGTGTGTGTGGGTGTATATATATATATATGTGTGTGTGTGTGTGTGTGTGTGTGTGTATTTGTATTTTTTTATACAAAAAATTATAAAAATATTATACACTTTTACGACTATCGAATGTAAATAGTTTCATCCTTGAGCTAAAGTGATATTTGCCCTTATTAATATGCTCTTTTAATTTGTTTAATACAAGTTTGGTTTCTGTCATTGTCCACAACAGTAACCTAGCCTTAAGTGGCATATCTTCGAAAGAATATATACTCTTTGCAGTTGTTTTGTTCAAAATTCAAGCATATTTAGGAGTAGGGTGTTCAAATCGAATCGGAAAATCGCACCAAATCGAAAAATCAAATCAAATCGATTTAAAAACCCGACTAGGTTCTTGGTTTGGTATTGAATAAAAAAATCCGAACCAAACCGACATATAAATATATAAATTTTATTTATATTTTTAAGAGTTTATAGTGATTTTTCTTTAGAAAATGTAGAAATATTTGGGATCCTATCATGTATTAACCCTGAAAGCGCAAATTAACGAAAAATTATTGTTAGACGGCTAAGAAAATAACTGTCATGTGTTACTAAAAAAATTCTCCCATTAGAATATTTTAATAGACCATATGTTTGTCAATTTTTTCCATATTTACTAAACATATATTCACTTATCAAAGCTTTATCTATAATTAATACAAAGTAAAATTGAAGTAATATTCATGTAACAAAAAAAAATCCGAAAAACCCGACAAAACCGAACCAATCCAAACCGATATAGTTAGTTTGGTTTGGTAAAAACCGAACCAACCCGATTCATGTACACCCCTATTTAGGAGACTTTATTGAAAAGTAAGTGCTTGCTCACTTGTTTTTACATTCCAAAAAGAGAGAAGAGAGAAGAGAGAAAAGTAAAAGCAAGAGTTGATTTAAAGAATATCGCTACAAATCAAAAGATGTAATGGTTATGTTAATTCAAACACGGTACTACTTTCTTAATGTTTAGAGAATAATGCACATTTGTTCGTTGTCTGCTGTATAGGAGTTTTTCAAGGAATTTATAATGATCTTTAGCCACTTTTGCCTGAAATTAAAATTAAGATTTAAAAAAAAGAAATTATTAATCACAAGAAATTACTTAAGTTGGGCTTAACCAGCTTGAAGATACTTGAGAAAATGGTATGATATGACAACGCATAAA